ATAGTCAAAATCACGTGATAATTTATAAAACGCTGCAGTGCGTTATGCATACGCCAAACTATCGTCAAACATACGTTGCGAACGCTGCCGATACGTTTTGCATTTGTTTTCAATACGGTATGTTTTATCTCGACGTATGTGTAACGACCATATAACGTTTGTGAACGATCACATAATGTAACCCCAACATACTTCAGCGAACACAGAAAGAATTGTGCATGCACAAAATTTTCGAAAACCTCGACGAACTACAACTTACGTCAGCATATCTCGGCGATCTCCTAACATATGTATAGCGTACTCATAACGAATCCGACGAACGTCGACGTTTTAGCCTTTTTTGCTATTCGTCGAGATATTCGTCTAGGTGTGACAGGGGTATAACATTTTGCTTCTTAATTTTGAAAAATAAAATATTCATTTGTGCACGATTGTTAAATGAGGAAATCGTTTTACCAGATATCTATTTAACATCCCAACATTTCTGAGGGTTATTTATTGACATCACTTTATTCTATTTAATTCAATTAACATTTTGTTACTTATTTAATAAGCCAAGAATAGTACTGAAATAACACCAACCGGAAGTTAAAATAGAAAGGTGCGTATGACCATCATGAAATGAAAGGTATGCATCTTGTTTTGATCCATTAACATCTAAATATTTTTGACTTTTTAAAAAGTTTTGTTAATGTAGAAACACAAAAATCGGAAAATTTCTAAATTTTGGCCAAATTCTGACCACAGCTGACCGGTCATTTGACAAATTATAAAAAAATTAATTGCCCTGCCCTATGCCTAGTATGTATGAACATGTGTGTAATGTTTTGTTTGAATACATGCAATGCTCTTTGAGAAACGCGTCGAAAACCTCGCTGGCAGAAGAAAGTGGAAGAAACTGAGCAAAAGCAATATGTCCCCCACTTCCTTTGGGGGACATAATTACTGATAAGCTTCATGGGCTACATCATATGATGATGCTATAATTTATCACACATGCATTATACCATTCAACAAGTGTGATGAAATGAATGAATGAATGAATGCATGAATGAATGAATGAATTTTCTATATTATGTTGAAAATATTCTGCATTTTGAACTGAATTATTTTACTAATCTAGAACCTTTTTGTGGTTTTTTTTAACCATTTGGATTTCTTTTAGAAATACAGGTTATTAAGTAACAAAATTTCAGGAAAAGCCAGAACTGTTTATTTATTGACCCTTTTTTTGAAAATATGCCACTGTGAGAACTGATTTAGGTAATCTTGAGTGTATTTGGATTGAAATTTTCTATCGAGGGCTAAATACTCTTCGGAACCTTTTATAGGCCGCCAAACTCTGACATAAACGACTGGGACTTGATTGAGCACTCTATCGACTTAGCGTTTAATACTGGTATTGATGATATTGTTATCACTGACGACTTTAATTCTAACATATTACGTCCTAATCCACATCGTACTAGACTAGCGAATATTATACAGCTCTATAACATGTCACAGATAATAACTGAACCTACTTTGTATTCTGAAACCAACTCTAGTCTTCTTGATATTATTTTAGTAAGTATGATTATATTGCTACGCGTTCATACGTAGGTGAGCATTTTCTTGAACAAAATACCCGATTTCATTGTCCGATATTCGCTTTTCTTCGTTTCAAGAAGCCCTCTGTTAATTGTAGCACGGACTTATATACACAGGGATAGGCAACTTGCCTTCAGCTCCGCATGTGTATTGTCCACCTTTTATATTTGCGCAGCGGAGCGTAACGACTGTCTGCCTCTCAATTTACCTTTAATCCTTCCTATCACGCTTGCACTGACCGCTTCTTTCGATTTCCGGCATTTTGTTTACATCAGCGACCGATGATTCTAAAATATGAAAGGATATCTATCATACTGATATTTTACCTTTTTATAACTTACATAACAAAATGATTTTAAAAAAAAGTATAACATTTTGCTTCTTAATTTTGAAAAATAAAATATTCATTTGTGCACGATTGTTAAATGAGGAAATCGTTTTACCAGATATCTATTTAACATCCCAACATTTCTGAGGGTTATTTATTGACATCACTTTATTCTATTTAATTCAATTAACATTTTGTTACTTATTTAATAAGCCAAGAATAGTACTGAAATAACACCAACCGGAAGTTAAAATAGAAAGGTGCGTATGACCATCATGAAATGAAAGGTATGCATCTTGTTTTGATCCATTAACATCTAAATATTTTTGACTTTTTAAAAAGTTTTGTTAATGTAGAAACACAAAAATCGGAAAATTTCTAAATTTTGGCCAAATTCTGACCACAGCTGACCGGTCATTTGACAAATTATAAAAAAATTAATTGCCCTGCCCTATGCCTAGCATGTATGAACATGTGTGTAATGTTTTGTTTGAATACATGCAATGCTCTTTGAGAAACGCGTCGAAAACCTCGCTGGCAGAAGAAAGTGGAAGAAACTGAGCAAAAGCAATATGTCCCCCACTTCCTTTGGGGGACATAATTACTGATAAGCTTCATGGGCTACATCATATGATGATGCTATAATTTATCACACATGCATTATACCATTCAACAAGTGTGATGAAATGAATGAATGAATGAATGCATGAATGAATGAATGAATTTTCTATATTATGTTGAAAATATTCTGCATTTTGAACTGAATTATTTTACTAATCTAGAACCTTTTTGTGGTTTTTTTTAACCATTTGGATTTCTTTTAGAAATACAGGTTATTAAGTAACAAAATTTCAGGAAAAGCCAGAACTGTTTATTTATTGACCCTTTTTTTGAAAATATGCCACTGTGAGAACTGATTTAGGTAATCTTGAGTGTATTTGGATTGAAATTTTCTATCGAGGGCTAAATACTCTTCGGAACCTTTTATAGGCCGCCAAACTCTGACATAAACGACTGGGACTTGATTGAGCACTCTATCGACTTAGCGTTTAATACTGGTATTGATGATATTGTTATCACTGACGACTTTAATTCTAACATATTACGTCCTAATCCACATCGTACTAGACTAGCGAATATTATACAGCTCTATAACATGTCACAGATAATAACTGAACCTACTTTGTATTCTGAAACCAACTCTAGTCTTCTTGATATTATTTTAGTAAGTATGATTATATTGCTACGCGTTCATACGTAGGTGAGCATTTTCTTGAACAAAATACCCGATTTCATTGTCCGATATTCGCTTTTCTTCGTTTCAAGAAGCCCTCTGTTAATTGTAGCACGGACTTATATACACAGGGATAGGCAACTTGCCTTCAGCTCCGCATGTGTATTGTCCACCTTTTATATTTGCGCAGCGGAGCGTAACGACTGTCTGCCTCCCAATTTACCTTTAATCCTTCCTATCACGCTTGCACTGACCGCTTCTTTCGATTTCCGGCATTTTGTTTACATCAGCGACCGATGATTCTAAAATATGAAAGGATATCTATCATACTGATATTTTACCTTTTTATAACTTACATAACAAAATGATTTTAAAAAAAAGTATAACATTTTGCTTCTTAATTTTGAAAAATAAAATATTCATTTGTGCACGATTGTTAAATGAGGAAATCGTTTTACCAGATATCTATTTAACATCCCAACATTTCTGAGGGTTATTTATTGACATCACTTTATTCTATTTAATTCAATTAACATTTTGTTACTTATTTAATAAGCCAAGAATAGTACTGAAATAACACCAACCGGAAGTTAAAATAGAAAGGTGCGTATGACCATCATGAAATGAAAGGTATGCATCTTGTTTTGATCCATTAACATCTAAATACTTTTGACTTTTTAAAAAGTTTTGTTAATGTAGAAACACAAAAATCGGAAAATTTCTAAATTTTGGCCAAATTCTGACCACAGCTGACCGGTCATTTGACAAATTATAAAAAAATTAATTGCCCTGCCCTATGCCTAGCATGTATGAACATGTGTGTAATGTTTTGTTTGAATACATGCAATGCTCTTTGAGAAACGCGTCGAAAACCTCGCTGGCAGAAGAAAGTGGAAGAAACTGAGCAAAAGCAATATGTCCCCCACTTCCTTTGGGGGACATAATTACTGATAAGCTTCATGGGCTACATCATATGATGATGCTATAATTTATCACACATGCATTATACCATTCAACAAGTGTGATGAAATGAATGAATGAATTTTCTATATTATGTTGAAAATATTCTGCATTTTGAACTGAATTATTTTACTAATCTAGAACCTTTTTGTGGTTTTTTTTAACCATTTGGATTTCTTTTAGAAATACAGGTTATTAAGTAACAAAATTTCAGGAAAAGCCAGAACTGTTTATTTATTGACCCTTTTTTTGAAAATATGCCACTGTGAGAACTGATTTAGGTAATCTTGAGTGTATTTGGATTGAAATTTTCTATCGAGGGCTAAATACTCTTCGGAACCTTTTATAGGCCGCCAAACTCTGACATAAACGACTGGGACTTGATTGAGCACTCTATCGACCTAGCGTTCAATACTGGTATTGATGATATTGTTATCACTGGCGACTTTAATTCTAACATGTTACGTCCTAATCCACATCGTATTAGACTAGCGAATATTATACAGCTCTATAACATGTCACAGATAATAACTGAACCTACTTTGTATTCTGAAACCAACTCTAGTCTTCTTGATATTATTTTAGTAAGTATGATTATATTGCTACGCGTTCATACGTAGGTGAGCATTTTCTTGAACAAAATCCCCGATATCATTGTCCGATATTCGCTTTTCTTTGTTTCAAGAAGCCCTCTGTTACAGCGCGGGACGTCATACCGTTGACAAACGCACTTGTCAAGCTGTGTCGTGATCTGTGCGATTAACACGGGTAACTTGTACACCAACTTCTGCAGTTGCGCTATATTTAGATGGCCCAGCGTGTGTTATGTGAGCATGCGCAGTTACCGGAAACGGCAGTGACAGTGACTGCCGCCAATAATCTCTGATGATGGACACTGAAAGAACTCCAGAGGAATTTGTTCGGAGCATTGACCCTGGACTCCTTCCATACAAGGAAGAATTGTTTTGTCTTTCTGTTACCAGCAAAGAGACCCTTAAATACCTTAGGCCGAGCGAAGTGCAGACAATGAACATTCCCGTCGTGTTTAAACGCATGTTGATTGAGCGCATATGTAACATGCAGACTCCGGACACCAAGAAAAAATTTAAAGCTGAATCTGAAGGCCACGAGGTTGTTTCCACTGAAAATATAATTGATGTTGCATCTACAAGTAAGTTCAAAAGGTATCCTAAAAGATTATTCGGTGTTGAAGACGAAAACAGCATCAATGATAGTAAGCCTGCTAACCATGCCCATGATGTTTTCGCTGAAAAATACGAAGATCAGAAGCCGTTTCTCGAGAAGGAGATGGAGAAATTAAAAGACGAACGGGATTCATTAACAATCTTGATGTTACACAAAAAGAATGAACTTGAAGATATGAGAATGGTACCTGAACCATTACAACCTATGGCCATACCTGGTGGAGTTATTTTGAAAACAGTCTGTGACAAGTGTCATCGCCGCGGACACAAGGCACATGGAAATCGCGGCAATCAGGCGTGTCCATTTGACAAGTGTGAGGGATACATTAATTGCGGCAACTTAACAAAGCATAAAGACTACAAACAGTCCATTATGGAGGTACGTGTATACTATCCTCACGAACTAATAAAGTCCATGCTGTCACATATCTATACAGAACTTTGTCAGTTGTTCATATTTCGCGCGCTCATCTCTACGAAACTTTTACCTGAGAGGATGTGACGTGTACGCATGCTTTTATGCATGACAGAGACAGCTACCGTGTCAACATTGCCATTGTTTGAACCATGATATAATATTCACCGTTCACGCAAACCACAGCTTGCGGTGAGTACCCAAAACCCATGAATTATGATTTTTATGTTTTATGCATTCTGTAATTGTTGTAAATATGGTTTATTCAGTGCTGTGTAGATAAACAGCAATATATTTACCTGTGCCGGTATGTTTGTTATGAGCACGGTTTGTGTACACACGCACAGGTGCGCGATAGTGTTACTATACCATGTGTTTAATTAGGGTGTGTATGATGTGATTTTTACCGGTTAAATGTATAGAATACATGCATAATTATCGTTTAATTACCAATTACTCGTGATTTGATACATGCACGTGAAATACAGTTGTTTACTTATGTATCGTAATAACCATTGTGCGACGGTCTATTAAGGCGTCGTGCACCGTACCTTTACCTGTAAATATGTTCATAATTGAAATGACAATTATCTATTTCTTGTATCATTGATCATTAAGTGGAGTCAAATGTGGTAAATATATGTTATAGCATTGAGTATTAATGCGATTATTATCAGAATTAATAAGGTTGTGTTAATTCAATTATTAGTTAAACTAGTACAGTATGGCAGGTGTTATATAGGGAATATCTATTATTGTAGTTACACCCTGTCTTGCTGATGGGCTACTATACTTTGCCTTGTTGACGGCTCATGTGGAATGGTCCAGTGAGACACCATTCATGGCTTGATGGTTGTCCCGCACATTCTGGCAGGGGGTCACTTGGTGATGGATGATGGTGGACAAAGGTATTGCCTGTTGTGCCCGACCGAGGTTCCAGAGGATGGCGGATGGTTACCCCCTTGTAGTTTTGGAGCTGTATGGACTTTCCTTGGATCATTGATGTGACCATGTGACATTGTTGTCACTACAAGTAGATATCAGCCTACTTTGTGACATTCTGACACTTCCATCGTAGATAGCTGCCTACTCTATAAGTGTATCTAGTATTTGATTAGTGTACCTGTATAGTGGAGGAACACAGCCCTCCGTTGTCATTGTTAATATTGTCTAGGTTGGATCCTGTGTTAATTGTAAAGAGAGTAAGAGAGTGAGCTTGTCGACATTTTGTTAACCATGGCTTTGTATGTCCTTTGTGTTTTGTATATAAATTTGTGTTTAGTGTAAAACAGCTTGTGTCTCTTATTCTTCCGAGAATCAGCAATTGCTCTTCACGTTACAAAATTTTGGTGGCAGCGGTGGGATGCATTGTTGGGTTCCTGAAGAGTTCGAGCTACATTTTGATTTACTTTATTATTGCCAGAACTATAATACTTTGTGATCATGGCTACATTAAAGGAGTTAATAGAGATAGGTACTGATATGGGTCTTACGGGTGCGTCACTCGCGGAGTTTGTTCGTGAAGAGCAGGCGCGGGAACGTGATCAGAGACAGCGAGAACGCGAGGAAGCGCGGGCTGAAGCAGATCGAGCCCACGAACTTATGATTCTCAAGGAAAACAGGCAACTGGAAATGGAACGCGAGGCGAGAGCGGTACAGGAACATTTAAGGAAATGCGAGTTATTGAGTCTACAGGAAAAGCAGTTAGGTAAGGTAGATTCATCTAGTCAGTTGTCATTGACCACGCGTGGACCGAAACTTCCTTCGTTTGATGAGGAGAAAGATAACATGGATTCACTAGAGGGAATTCGGTTAGGATACATGCGAGCAATCCAAGCTTTCCTTCATATGGCGAAGAAAACAACACCACAATGATTAGAGTTAAAAATGTCCCACTTTCGGCAGAAGATGGCCAGATAAAGCGGGCAATATCACTTTTTGGTTGTGAAATTATCAAAATGTACCGGGAGAGGCTGCGAGTAGATAGCTTCCTCACGAACTGTGAGACTGGTGACCGGTTATTGACTGTCAAAGATCTAAAATCTCCAATACCATCTGTCATAGAGATTGGTAAATATAGAGCGACGGTGAAACATAAAGGCCAGCCAAATGAGAACGCTACATGTAGCAACTGTTTGGAGAAGGGCCACTACGCCAAGGAATGCACAAAGGAAAAAGTGTTCAGGGAATGTAAACTCCCTGGTCACATCAAGTCCGAGTGTCCTAAACTGTGGGTTGATCAGGATCAGTATGGCGATGCTGATGATGAGGACTGTAAAACTGAAGACGACATGTGCTCCACGGACAGTAGCAGTACTGGTAATGATCAAGAGGACGATGATGCATACACCAGTACTACTGCTGATGCTCCAGACAATAAAGAGATTTTCGTGGAGGCCTCTGAGAGCAAATCGCGTTCGCGAAAACGTAAAGAATCAAAAACCGCGAAAAACAAAGAAGGGAAAAAGGATACACAAACTATGCTAGATAAATTCATGAAGAACACTCCTTCCAGGAAATCATCTCAATTGAGTGCAGACCTACGCTCTCCTCCTGAGGACATAGGTCAAACAGCAAAGAAAAAATGTGAAAAAAAGAAAGACTAACTTATTCACCTTTATTCAATTTATTCAATATAAATGTATGTACAACTGTGAAAAGCAGGAATATGTTGACTATAATCATTGCTATCCACTTATGTATGTACGATTTAGGTTTTATTTTCTTTTCCAATATAAAAAATGGACAATGTAGTATACAGTCTACATAATTTAGATGAAAAAGATATGTATGCTAAACAATACAGAATGAGTCTGGAAAAATATACATGTATGCATGTAAAGTACCAACAAATACACACTGAGATGTATAGTATATATCAATATTATAACAGGTGTTTATAATATACAATTTACATTCCACAATGGAAAATATACCAATATATGAAAATATATATAAAGTACCAACAAATAATATATAGTGTACCATTGCTATAATATGGCACAGTACAAATGTATGTGCATAAAAAAAAAAAAAAAAACCAAAAAACCAAAACACTATACAATCTTATCTATAAATATACACTCTATGATTTGTCAATTTTATCTAACAAGAGTACAATATGTACTTCGAGAAAGAATAAATAATTAGAAAAAATAAGACAATGAAATGTACATGTGATATTGTTATTTTGTGCAATCTGTATATAGAAGGTGAAAATATGTATACTAAACAATACAGAATGTATGTGTATAAAATGTAAAAATATACAGTACCATCAGTCACAATATTATGTGTTCACAATATACTGTAATTACCTTGATTCTAAAGTATACTGAATGAGCAATAGAACTTGTAGCAAGTGCAGTACGGTCAGTACTTTGATATAAGTACTATAATGTAACGCAAGTGTAGTACGATCAGTACTTTGATATAAGCACTATAACACAAAGGAAGAGTACATGTATTATTTTTTGGGTAAAAGCAAGTGTATATATACATTTATTTAAAAAAAAATTTTGTTTGTATGTATATACCTTAATATATGGAAGTAACCTCATTTCACTATAATGCTTATATGTATGTATTTACTAGATATGTTCAGTATAAAAATACATATAAAATGTATATACCTTAATATATGGAAGTAACCTCATTTCACTATAATGCTTATATGTATGCATTTACTAGATATGTTCAGTATAAAAATACATATAAAATGTATATACCTTAATATATGGAAGTAACCTCATTTCACTATAATGCTTATATGTATGCATTTACTAGATATGTTCAGTATAAAAATACATATAAAATGTATATACCTTAATATATGGAAGTAACCTCATTTCACTATAATGCTTATATGTATGTATTTACTAGATATGTTCAATATAAAAATACATATAAAATGTACTATTAATTTTAAAATATATCTATATTACTATTACCAAATTGATCATATTTTTTAATTATTATATACAGCAATATTATTTGCATGTATCGTATGAAATTTTCTAATCTGTATATACGGTACTAACTATTATTTGTTGTGTAATTAGATTATAATTTCAAATCCATGACTAGTAAACTACATATTCTTACAATAAACTCCCAAGGTTTAGGAGAAAAGCAAAAAAGAGATAGATTTTATGCCTGGGTTAAGCAACAGAAAGGCAATATTATCCTAACACAAGAAACACATTTTAAACAAACAATGGTACCATATATAAAAACAGAGTGGCAAGGGGAGGTAATTCATAGTTTTGGCACAACACAGAGTAGAGGAGTTAGTATTTTCATAAGTAAAAAGATAAATCCAGAAATAATTGACATACACAAGGATAAAGAAGGAAGACTATTACTTGTTAATGTGAAAATTAATGACAATATATACACTATTGTAAATATATACGGACCTAATGACAGGAAAGGCAGAAACACATTCTATAAACGGGTGAAATCATTTATATCAAACCATAGCCTAGGTTTCATTATTATAGGTGGTGATTGGAACGAAATTCAACAAGCAGATGATAGATTATCAAAAAAATACCAACAAAACCAGTAAATAGCCATAAAATGTTAATAAAAGACTTAAAATTGAAAGATCCATGGAAACTAAAAAATTCCAAGAAAAAACAATTTACCTGGAAAAGGAAAAATTCAACCACAGAAGCAAGTAGAATAGATTACTTTTTGGTACAGGAAGGAATTATACATAAGGTAATTAAATCTGATATTCGACCAGTTCTTATAAAATACACAGACCACCAAGCTGTTTCGCTAATGGTCGACATAAAACTTGTAGCACGAGGCCCTGGTTACTGGAAAATTAATAATAGTTTATTGAATGATACAGAATATCAAAAAATGATAATCAAAATTTTAAATAGATATAAACAAATGGAAGGTAATGATCAGTTATCAGCTCAAACTATATGGGATTTATGTAAAGTAGAAATAAGAGAAACATCTATATATTTTGGGAAGGTAAAAACAAAACTAAGAAAAAATAGGTTGAAAGATCTAGAAGAAAAACTTCAAGAAAAAAATAATAAAAATGCAAACACAGAGGAGATAAAGATAATTGAAGAAGAGATAGAAGTAATTTATGCACATCGAGCAAAGGGAAATCAAATAAGATCTAGATCAGAGTGGGTTCAGAAAGGTGAAAAAAACAACAAATATTTCTTGGGGTTGGAAAAATGTAGACAAATGAAAAAGTCAATAAACAAACTATATGATGAAAATGGGGAAATACTGACTGAGCAAGGTGAAATACTGAACAGACAAAAACAATTTTATGAAAAATTATATACAACAAAAGAACCAAACATTGAAGAAATTAAACATTATATCAATTCTGTTAACTTAGAGAACAGAGTAAGTGAAGAAGATAGTAACAAATGTGAGGGTATGGTAAATGAAGAAGAATGTCTTAAATCTTTAAAAAAATGAAACTAAATAAATCTCCTGGATCTGACGGACTGACCGTTGAATTCTATAGAAAATTTTGGACACATCTTAAAGAGTTATTAGTGAATTGCCTAAATAATGGTTATGAAAATCGAAAACTATCAGAGTCTCAAAGAACTGGAATCCTCTCACTGATTTTTAAAAAAAATGATCCCTGTGATCTAAATAACTGGAGACCCATTACACTCTTAAATGTGGACTATAAGATATTAGCTCATTGTCTAGCAGAAAGAATAAAGAAGATCCTACCAAAAATCATTAACTCAGATCAAAATGGCTTTGTGATGGGAAGAAATATTAGATACAATATTCGACTAATTAATGACATAATTGATTATTCAGAAAAAAATAAATTAGATGGAAGCATATTATTTCTGGACTTTGCAAAAGCGTTCGACTCAATAGAATGGCCCTTTATGTTATCTGTATTAAAACACTTTGGTTTTAAGGAAAATTTTATGAATTGGATATCAACTTTATACAATCAAATAAATTGTTTAGTCTCAAATAATGGATGGTTATCAGAACATGTTAGTATCACATGCGGAATTAGACAGGGATGCCCAATATCGGCACTTCTCTTTGTTATAACAGTAGAAATAATGGCCATTAAAATCAGACAAGATGAAAATGTACAGGGCATAAAAATCAAACAATCACAAAGTAGAGACTTTAAAATTTCACAATTAGCCGATGATACTACATTATTTTTAAAAACTAAATCAGATGTAACCAAAGCTCTTAATATAATTGAAATTTTTGGAAGTTTATCCGGATTAATTTTAAACAGAAACAAGTCGCAAGGAATCAGGTTAGGAAACAACAAAATATTAATAGATGATAATCATGAAAACATAGACTGGACCAATGAAAGTATTAAGGCATTAGGAATATATTTCAGTTTAGACATCAAGAAAATAGAGCAATTAAATTGGGAAACTAAGTTGGAAAAAATGCAGAGGATTGTAAATTTATGGGATAGAAGGAAGTTAACTATGATTGGGAGAATTCAAATATGTAAATCACTTCTAATACCAAAATTAACATATCTAATTTCTGTAATATCAGTACCAAAACATGTAATAAAAAAGGCTGAAAAAATCATGTATAAATATATATGGGATGGGAAAACAGAAAAAATTAAGAGGAAAAACTTATGTCAATCATATGCAGTCGGGGGACTGAAAATGTTAGATTTAACATCTCATGTGATAACTATACAATGTAGCTGGGTCGAAAAACTTAAAACTGATAACAGCTTATGGACATACATACTTAAGTATTATTTAAATAAATATGGAAATAATCTCCTTATTTTTGCAATGAACCCAAAAAATTTAAAAAACATACACGGTTATCTGAATATCCCTCTATTTTACCAAGACATTTTGAAATCCTGGATTGCAATCGGGGGAGGTGAAAGACAATATCCAAAAAAATAGAAGACATAGCAAATGAGTTAATTTGGGGAAATCAATATATAAAAAATGAAAATAAAGTATTAATATATAAAAACTGGATTGACAGTAAACTCTTACGACTACAGGACATTTTAGATCAAGAAGGAAAGATAAGTGAAAATATCATTTTTAATAAGCTTAAAAATAAGAGAGATTGGATCTCACAAGTTTCTGTAGTTAAAAAATCTGTTCCTAAAACATGGAAAGAAAAATTAAAATATTCAGACATACAAAAATTCAAAATAAAAAATGATTATGACGTGCTAACTGTTAAACTTAGGAATAAAGTGAAAAGAGTTTGTGTAGATGAAATTTCGAATAAACAAATATATGACAATTTCCTTAAAATGAATTCAATAAAACCAATTGCATATATTGCTTGGGAGAACGAATTTGACATAGGCACAACAGAGTTGGGAGACAGATTTAAAAAGATGATTAGCTTCACTTTAACAAATATTAGTGATAACAAATTGAAAATGTTTAGATGGAAATTGATACACAGAATACTACCAAATAGTCAACTACTATATAAGTGGAAAATTAAAGATAGTCCGTTATGTAATGTGTGTGGGGTTATAGAAAAATATGATCATTTCTTCACAAATTGTAGATACATTGCAGCATTTAAAGCGAAAATGAACAATCTCTTTGGAAAAATGGGGTAC